TCACCTGAGCCCCCCAGCTTCAAGTGGGATGGGATGGGGCGTGCCCAGTCTGCTCCCCAGCCCGCACCCCAGGATTTAAGGGGAGCCACAGTGCCTGCCTCAGGCTCCTCAGCCCTGAAGACCACGGTCCCCGCGCTGTACGGCCTTGCTGCATCGGAACTTGTTCTACGACCACGGAACGGCCCTGTCCTGCCCCAACCTCTGCTCTCAGCACCAGAGGGTAACTCTGCCTCCTGCCCCCACGCGCTGTGCCTGGAGCCCTGTCAGCAGCGGCTCCCACCCCTCCTTGCTGATGGGACAGTGCCTCCCACCGCTGGCCCTGCTGCGGCGTGGCCCTCAGCCCTCAGGCTCCATGGGGGCACCAGGGGCTGAGAAATGGGGCTTGTGCCCCCGCTCCCTGTGAGCACTTCCTACTCCCCGTCTCAGCTCCCCGACCCCGGGCCATCGGACCTCACCTCTGATGTCCACCAAAGAGGGCACGGCCTTGTCTTCCTCCAGCTGTCGTGGCAACGCCACTGACCAGCTTGTCTTCCTCAGCCTCCTCCCTTGCAGTGAACTTGACCTGTGTCCTCAATAGCCACCCATGGTCAGAGCCTGTGTCTTGTGACCAATGACGGCATCCTCTCTAAAATGTGTCTCCAAGCGTCCCCCCGGGGGCAGTTCCTTTCCTGTGGTCCCCACTCCAGCCCGCCACTCCATCCAGGTCCTCGGGCCACCACCCCGCCCGCGGTGCACTGTCGGCCCTCTCCTTCCTCCTGCTGTCCCAACTTAGAATTCAGTCATTAGGCGCAGCCGATGACACACACACTCTCTCTCTCGCTTTCAAATGAGGCTGCAGGTTTATTGTAAAGATGACAAGAGATCTGCCCTAGCCAGTGTGCGTCCGTGGGTACCGTGCGGGCCTGTGGACTGAATGGTCCCAGGTTCCGTTCAGGTCAAGGGCGCGTATCTTGGTTGCAGGCTGGATCCCCAGCCCTGGCCGGGGAGCACATGCAGAAGCAACCTATTGATGTCTCTCACATCGGTGTTTCTCGGTCTCCCCCATCCTTCCACTCTCTAAAAATCCATGGAAAATATCCTCGGGTGCGGATTAACAACCAACAAAAAAGCCAGCAGGGCCATCTCGAGCAACACGTCACCAGGTGTCCGGTGCGGGTGGTACTAACATGCAGGCCACAGGTCGCTGTGGTGACAGACGCAGCACTGCCAGGCCCTTGGTGAGGGGCAGGGGGACCCCGGAGTGCGCTGGTTTAGGGAAGCACAGATGATCTCTGTACAGGGGGGCATGGCTGCAGACCATCTCAGGGTACGCGTCCATTCTGATTTAAGTGGCAACAGCACGAAAGCACCAGGCTTGGCGAGACCCTAAAACGCAGGGCCTTCCTCAGCTCTACTGGGAGCTCCCAGACGGTGCCGCCTGCCGGGCAGGCCTCGCCCACGGGGCAGCGGGCTCTGCTCTCCCAGGCCCGTGTCAATCTTGGAGACATGTGTGTCTCTAAGAAGCGATTTTTCAACCTTTTTCACCCCATGGCATAGAAACTAATTACTAAAATTCTGTGGCCACCAAAAAATATATTTTTTGCTGATCTGACCAAAAAAAACCCCAAAAAACAGGTATAGTTTTTATCGGTTCACCCCGGGCGGCTATGTTGTGTTGGCTGTTGTCCGTTTGGCACCCGAGGGAGGAGAGGCAGCGAGTGCCCGGCCAGGCAGGTGCTGCGTTTTAGAAGCTCTTGCAGCGCCCGGGGGAGCCCGCCGCCCCCACAGGCCAGGTCCCTCTTAGCAGGACCTTCTTCAAAGTTGGGTTTGACCTCAGCCTTGCTCCCCGCGGACAGATGCAGTCCACTCCGGCCGGCACCCCTGCTCCACCCTCAGCCCCACCCTGCCCCCAGCTCTATTCTCGCCCGGCCAACCTTGTCCTGGGGACCCCAGAGCTGCCTGCTGAGGGCCAGGGCCTGGGCAGAGCGTCCAGATGAGGGCTGCCCGCACCATGTCCAGAGCCAGGCCTCCCTCACATCGCTGCCAAGCGGTCCCCTATTTCCTTAGCCCCTCGCATCTGAGGAAGCTCATTCACACCTTTTCTCCTCTCAAACCCTCAGTCTCCCTTGCCCTCACCTGAAGTGCTCAGGAGGAAATGGGACGATCGCTCCCCGCCTCCCCCCCATCTGGCACCAACCAACCTTTGCGCCAGAGATGCCGGGGGTGTGCGAGGCCCTGCCCCTGCCTCCTCGCGGGCCACTCAGCAGCCTCCCCACGCGCCACTCCTGCTGTCCCCCCTACGCGTGTCCTATGATGGAAGCCACGCAAAGAACACGTGCTGGGCCTCCGCCTGCTCTCCACGCCTCTGCCCCTCGCAGTCCATTCCGCACCCGCCCCGCCAGTCGGCCCTTCCCTGTCACTCCCAGAACCTGACCAGTGCAGCCTCAGGTTGCCAGAGCCCAGTCTGTCAGCACCTTTAACACAGCAGTTAACCCTCTTAGGTTTAATTTTCATTTTTCAACATTTTATTATTAGTGTTTAAACATAGAAAAGTTGAAATACTTCCCGGTGTGTTCCCTCTGCCCAGCTCACCTCCGTCGAGCCGTCCTGTTCTCAGTGCATTTCAAAGGAAGTTGCAGACGTGGGCACGCCCCTGCGCACGCCAGCCTGCTTGTCACCAACCAGAGCCTGCTGTTTGTCCTCCGGTGTTTCTCCTTTTGAGGGAACATTTCCATGCCGTGAAATGCATACAACGTAGGTGTGCTGCCCGCGGACTTGTGGCAACGCCTGCCCACGCCCGGCAGGCGCAGAATGTTGCCCTCACCTGAGCCCCGCCGCCTTTGCCGCCAGGAGCAGAGTGTTGGTTAGGGACTCGGTGGTTGTGCCTGGGGAGTGGGGAGTGGGCTGGGATCTGTGACCAGCGACACCAGAGGTGGGAACGCCAGGCCCGTAGGCTGTCTAAGGCCCGAGAAATCATTTGGTCTGGCCCTGCCAAGGCAGTAGGGGTTTGTTTATTAAATGTCTGACCAAATAGAGCAGGCTAATTTTTAAGCTGATAATTTGTATGGCCCATGAATGATGTTATAAATATCCACATGGCCCTCGGCAGAAAGAAGGTTCCCCACTCGTGACCATGAACAGCCAAGGCAGACGCCCCCACGCCCACCCCTTGCTGTTGATGCGTCCCCAGTGACGAGGCTGTGTCCCAGGCCACCTCTCCTCCTGGGCTCATGGGAAGTCGGCATTTCCCAGGCCCTGCATCGAAGAAACTACAGGCTGAAAGGATGTTCACCACGTAGAGACCTGACCCACTTAAAACCTCCCGGAGTGATGCCCTCGCCCTTCCTTCCCACGGCCCCCGAGGCCAGCTGGTAAAGATGGCACATGGCGAGGGAGCTGCCAGAACATTCCCACTGGGCATTTTGTGAGGGAGAAACATGGCAGTCAGCCAGCAAGAACCTGGGACTTACTGGTTCCTGTGGCACCTATTGTATTCTGATATGGAAATTGGTATCCGAGTGAGTTTCTGCTGTAACCAAAACAAAACCAGCTGATGTGTATTGGCTGGGCGGGCAGGAAGAACGTGGACGGAACCCTGGACAGCAGGACAGACTGGAGGAGACCACCGTGCTCGCCTGGGCAGGCTCTGCCTGCTGAGCCGTCAGCCCGGGCAGGGGCCACTTGAAAGCTACCACAGCGAAGGGATGTGCTCAGCAAAAGGGCCAGTTTGCAAGCAGAAGTGACAAGAAATGAAGAGAATCCAAAACTGTTTGTTATCAAAAGATTGGAAAAGGAAACTTCTAGAACTCACACAGGAAGGGCTAAGACTGAAGCATGCTTTGACTATAAAGGCCTAGTGAGGCTTCTGACCGGTAGGCCACTCGGCCCTGGGCAAGTCCCAGGCTGGGCAGGGCGCGGGCGCCTGGCTCCAATGCCCCGCAGCTGGCACCGAGCTGACACGTGGGGGAGCAGCAGGAAGAAAGCAGGCTGTCCAGGGAAGACTGCTGTGAGTGCTCGTTACCTGCTGCTGCTAACAAACTACCTCAAAACTCTGCCGCGTAACCAGCATGCATTCTCTCTCCTGGCCCTACAGGTGACTGACTGACGGGGCCCACGGACAGCTCCCGTGGGAGGGGACGCGATCGGTGTGTGGGAAACAGTGAAATAAGTACTTGGTGACACTAGAGGGCCATGTGACTGGCCACACGCTAACCAAAGCCACTTCCGATGCCCCTGGGCACAAGGATCCTGCATTTCCTCCTTCCTGGCACCGAAGCGAGACCAGTCCTGGTGTGGGGACGAGGAAGTCGTGTCCCCCACCCCCCGCTCTGCTGTGTGTGGGAGGGGCGGTGGCACAGACGGAAGCTGCTGGAGTCCCCAGACACCGCTTGGAGAGCTGCCCACCAGGAGCCCCCTGGGCCCCCCACCTGCCTGAGTGGATCCCCAGTGGCTGCAGGCCCTGCAAACCCGCCCCAGGGCCCTGTTAAGTCCTGCTCCCTGAGGGTCCAAGGCCAGGGCTTCAGCACGGAAAGGTGGGTGGCGGGCAGCCCCGAGCAGAGGCTGGGGCCCAGGCCCTCACAAGAGAAGCGCAGCCTGCCCCGTGCCCTCCCCACCTGCCCCTGTGCTCCCCCTGCTGTGCTCCCTCCGCCGACGGGTCTGGAAGGCACCAGCCACCAAGCCGGCGGCCGTGAGTCACCCTGAGGATGTGTGGCTGGCTGGCGGCCTCTGAAGGGGCAGCTCTCTGGTGGCATGAAGCAAGCCCGCAAGTACCCAGTGGAGTGCACCCCCAAGACCCAGCGAGGGGGAAAGACGAGGCCAGCACCTCCACCTCCGTGCCTGCAGACCACAGCAGTGTCCTGAAGGCCGCCTCCAGTCCCTCTCCGGCCATCGGGACAGTGGCCTTGTCAACTGCAGGCCAAACTGGGCTTCGGGCAGGGCCTGGCTCCACAGCCTGCCCGACCCTCCTGTGCCACGGGATGGATAAAGATGGGGGAAGGCGAAGTACACAGCCAGAGACCGCATCATGATACAAATGATAAATTATATTTATACAGTAAATACGTATCAATAGTGACACAAGTTCAAAACCAGCTACCGGCCCCCGGGGCTGAGGAAACGGGGTGACCCCACCCGGAGCCTTAGGAGGGAGCGAGGGCCTGTGTGCAGCTCGTGAGCAGTGGCTGGCAGTGGCAGGATCAGTGCAGGCGTCCGGGTGGCCTGGGGCCGTACTGCAGGGGCATCAACGTGCTGGGGGCACCTGGGGAAGCACCTGCCCCAGTCCACTGCCTCTCCCCTCCCCAGGCCCAGCCTGAAGCCCCAGGAGCCTCTGGGAGCAGCCCTGTGAGTAGGAAGCAGGAAACGCAAGGGGCCCAGAGGCAGTCGGCGCGGCCTGCATGCCTCCTACAGCCAGGCAGGGCCCAGGCCCCTGCTCAGAGGGCCCACGGTGGCCTGCTGCCCTGGGGCCAGGGCTAGGGCACCCACAGTGGAATGTGAGGAGAAGGCCCCTTCCCTAGGGAAAGGCCGATCTTTTCTGGGCCTTAGTTTATGACCTAATACTTTTTATAGTGGTGGCTGGGCAAGGGGCAGGAGGGGAGAGGAGATAATACACGGGCGTGTTTGTTAAATATCTATCCTGGGTGAGGATCACTGTTTTCTTCTCCAAAATAAGAGATGATGGATTTTAAGTCTGTGCTGTGTGTCTGGAGTTAGCAGAGTCAGGGCCAGCCCTGGTCCCTCGCCCGCCCCGTCTCAGCCACAAGCTCCGGGGAGCCACTGCCCCCAACCAACGGCCATCTCTGCCTCCCCCCTCCCCCCGTCTTCACCTGAGCGAGTATCAGACAGGAGATCACAGACAAGTGGTCCCAGATGTCTCTTCCATCTCACATTCCCATTGGGAGCGGAAGTCCCGCTAACATGCACGCCCTCAGTTACAAAAAGGAATCAGCTGATAAACACTGGGAGTCAAATTCAAACTTGAGATTTTTTCTTTAACTTTCTTGATGCTGGTGTATCAGTAAGAAAAATAGTTCTTTCTTAGCATCTAGCCAAAAAGGCTGAAAGTTAATCAGTTTGGTAATTCACCAAAAAAGGGAATTAAAGGAAAAGGCAACTGGAGGCTAGAGTTTTTTGTTGTTTAGTGTTTTTTTAAATAAACATCTTTTAAGTGTAATCAAACTCTCAAATTTTTTTTCTATAAAGAATTTACTTTAGTTTTCCATAAGGCATTTTTTTTGTCTCTTCCTATTTAAATTTTCTTATAGAGTTAAAACCATAAATAAGAGAATTTAAACTACTAACATAACATGTGCCAATATCTTAATTCAGTCAGACTCGGTAAATTCTATCAAAACTAGACAGTTAAATAAGAACCACGTTATAAAAATATTAGCCAAAAAAGACTGTTAGATAATTCTGCAAACTCAAATATGAAACTGTACTAAACAAAACATGTGCAAACATACACAAGCCTCGAGCCGCGTGGAGGGTTATGCTCAGGTTAGTTTAAAGCTCGCTCTAGTGGCCTGCACGTGAGTCGTCCCAGGTGGTGTTTACTTTGAACTCACACACGAGTCAAAGAAAAAGATGCACAACCACTTCCCCTAAAGGTCCGTGTCTCATGGAGCCAGCATTTCCTTCCAACCACACCTGGGCCGGCAGGGCTGGGGGCGAAGGGCAAAGACAAGGCGGCCGTCCCAGGTCCTGGGCGAGGCTGTGTCCCCGAGACCCTCAGGCTGAGGCTAACGGCAAGGGCAACACTGAGGACTGCTGCCCCCTGACCAGGCCCCGCAGAGCCGGGCGGCCCCCAAGAGTCAGGACCCTGCACTTGGGAGGTGAGGGTGCCCAGGCTGGGTCAGGGTGAGCAGGCGCCAGAAGGTGATCTGAGGCTCAGCACGCCGCCTGCTCACGCCTGAGGACGGGGCTGTACAGACGACCTTTGGCACCGACCCCCGGCCCTGACACGGCCCCGCAGTGAGTCTCGGCTGGCGTCCTGGGCACAGGCGCGCGGGCATTTGCTCTGGGTGGGCCCCAGGCCTGGGCACTAGAGAAGGAAAGGGTTGGTTGTGCCAGTAGCCTGAGCTGCCGTTGGGGGGGTGCCCACGCTGCCCACCATGTTCATTGTGGCAGGGCCCAATGGCGCTGGGTGTGAGGCTGTGGAGGTCATGGAGGCCACAGCCATGGGCTCCACACTTGGGCCAGGCCCGAAGGACACGCTGGTCCCCAGCACGGGGCTCCCCCGCAGCTGGTTCAGCGTCAGCGGCTGGGGCTGGTTCACCTGGAATGGGTTGACAGGGCCCGAAGCCGCAGCTGCACCTGGAGAGAGCAGGAGGGACAGTGGTGGTCAGAACAGCATCTGCCCTCAGGGCTGGTGCGCCCCGGTTCCTGCTGGGCCGCAGAGCCCCTGGCAGCCCCGCTGGCACACGGAGACACGTCTGCTTACAGAACGCTGGAGAGAGCAGGAGGGACAGTGGTGGTCAGAACAGCGTCCGCCCTCAAGGCCAGGGGCTGGTGCGCCCCAGTTCCTGCTGGGCTGCAGAGCCCCTGGCAGCCCCGCTGGCACACGGAGACATGTCTGCTTACAGAACACATCTCCACTGTTTGCATGAGGAGACCAAGGCTCTGACTTGGAGAGGCCAAGAGACTTGTCCAAGGTCACAAACCTAAAGGAGGCAGAGCCAGGAATGTGCCAGGCTGGAGGGCCCAGCTCCTTGGTAGGGCTGGCCCAGGATTCCCTCAGCAGCCAACCGCTGGCACTGCCCTGTGACAACGGGTGCCTGGGAGGGAGAAGAGCAAAGGGGGAGGCGGGAGCCACAGCGTGTGGCTTGAGAGTGGCAGCCCCCACGCTGTGCCCTTCTCCAAAGGCTCTGAGAAGTCCTGCAGTCAAGAGCCTGGCGCAGCTCTGTCTTTCCCGGCATTTCCAGACTTTACTTCACATCGGAAAGCCTCTTCCTCTTTAGTAAACACATCTGTTGATATTCTGCCCCAAGCGCAGGAGCTGCCGGCACTGCGTCTCCAGTGCAGCCCAGCTCCTACTCACAAAGGCTCCCACACACTGGGGCGGGCAGGCTTGGGAGGGCGCCCCTGACATCCCTGCATCAGCCCCCCCTCTAGTCACCCCAGGAGGTGGGCTCTGCAGATCACCCTTGAGAGATGACCAAACTGAGACTCCAGAGCAGGACAGGGACTTGCTTGAGGCTCAGCTTAGAAGGGTTAGAGCCAGACCCCACCAATGACAACAGCCCAAGCCCCTGTGCGGCCTGCAACACGGCCTGGATGTCGGTCCAGCAGGGCCTTGGCTGCAGCCTCTGAGATAGACCTGTTTGCAGACAGCACAGCTCTTCCCCACCCCCACGAGCCCCGCCCTGAAAGCCTAGGAGACGTTAATGCCACAGCTGCCAGGGGGACTCCGGGGCCGCTGGGCTCTCTGGGCAGGGGTGGCAGGAGCCCTTCTGGGGTAGGGACAGGGTTCGTGTTGCTTTGGAAATTGGGTTCTGATCTAGCTCCAGGGAGCAAAGGGCCCTGGAGTCACCTCCTGGGGGTAACTGCCTCCTCACTGTCTCAGGACGCAGGGTGGCAGGACCAAGGCTCCCCAACGGGCTCTCTGGGCAGGGGTGGCAGGAGCCCTTCTGGGGTAGGGACAGGGTTCGTGTTGCTTTGGAAATTGGGTTCTGATCTAGCTCCAGGGAGCAAAGGGCCCTGGAGTCACCTCCTGGGGGTAACTGCCTCCTCACTGTCTCAGGACGCAGGGTGGCAGGACCAGGGCTCCCCACACCCCCCCGAGCCCCCAACCCCTGCCCCTAAGTCCTGGGTCCTTCTCTAAAGGCTCCCATCAGGGGCCATGGTCCAGCCTTCAGATCCCTTCACCACGGGGCAGGGCAGGGGCTGAACCCCTTGAACGTGACCAGTTCTTGCCCTTGGGGAGCCCAAGGCCCGCCGGGAAATCTGGGGAGTGCTGTCTGGGATGGTCTGAGGGACAGATGTGCCTTCCATGGAGGCGGACAGGGCGTCCGCATGAGGAGTGTCAGCAGCAGGAGGCTGAGGGCCTGAGCACTTGGGAGGGGCGGGGGCACTAAAGCAAGGGGGGGCTTCCCTGTACCCCAGGGAGGTGGAGGGTGGAGCGCAGGTCTTTAAACAGGCCCCGCCCCCCCCTCAGGGAGAATGAATGGAGGGGCGCGAGGGCCGTGTTCCCAGCCCCAGGGAAGGCAGAACCCACAGCAGGGGTGAAGTGAGGGTCCCTGGGTCCCTGAGGATGGCCCAGCTAAGGGCCAGTGACACTGCACTTGACGGGACATGGGCCGCAAACTGCACTCCCACCCGTAGCACCACCGGGCGGGTGCTCGCTGGGGGCTCACCCTGGCTGGGCACAGGTCAGGGGCAGCTGCTGCTCAGTGGTCTCCACTGGAAGAAAGGAGGGGCTGTTTCACTCCCCCTCAGCCCCGAGGTGGGAGGCGAGGACAGGCCTCGCACCAGCCCCTTCTCAGGAGGAGCCGCCAGCTGCGGGAGTGCTGGGAAGCCGCTTACCTGGTGCCAGGAAAGGGTTGAGGGACTGGGCCGGCGGGGCTGGCCTGGTCACCAGGGAGTCCAGGTTCACCAGGGCCGCGTTGGGGCCCAGGAAGGACTCTGGGGTTTTCCGGGCGCTGCTGGGCTTGCTCGCGGTCACAGTCAGGGGCTGAGACTCAAAGGGGTCAGGGCTTGTAGTTCCACTTTTTTGGGATGGCAGAGAGGCCACCGCCTCAGCTACAAGACAACGACAGACACAGGCGTGGTGAGCCGGAGGGAGGTCCTGCGGCTCCTGCACCCACGCTGCAGCCGCCCGGGACGTCCCAGCCACGCAGACGTGCCCGGACCCACAACTCCCCGTGGGGCTGCGGGGGTGGGATGCTCATTGCAGGTTGTTTCCAACAGCCCCGAGCTGGAGGCAGCCACAGGGCAGGTGAGGGCCTGCCTCCCGGTCACCAGCCCACGTGCAGGGACAGAGCCCAGAGGAGGAGAGAGCCCTCCTGGCAGCCAATGAGAGGCGGGCACTAACAGTCTACAGCTCAGTCCTTCAAGCTCCGTAAGATGCTATTCTGGGCTGGTGGCGAGGCAGGGCAATTTGTTTTTGTAATGTTTTCGTTTTCTACTAGTAAATTTTCTACAATGAGCATGAATTTCTTGACAGCTAGAAGGGAGCAAATTATTTTTAAAAACCCAGCCAACAGAGGGTGTGTGGAGACAGGCTGTGGGCATGTGCTGCTGGGCCAAGATGCAAGGTGGCGATGTGGTGCAGGGCGCTGTGCCCATCCCAGAAGCCGGTCAGGAAGTAATGCGCTGTGGGCACGCGGCACACGCTCACCGCAGCATTATTTCCCTCCGCAGAACCAATCAACCTAGTGTCCTCCCAAAAGTAAAGATTAAAGACATTACTGCTGAGCGGGACAGAGATACTACCTGGATGAGAAACCTTTTCTTAAGGATTTTAATGTTATGAGGACTTGTTCTCAATCCATTATTCCATAAAATGGGGGTGGGAGGCGGGGTTCAACTCCGACAGTGTGAGCCGAACTGTATTTAAGAGCTCAAAACTTACTGGAAGGAAACAGTGGCTGAGGGCGGGAAAAATCAAAGATGATTTTCATTTTCTCCCCATAAGCTTTTCCAAATTTCCTCCGACAGGAACATGCCTGGGACGGGCTCTGCAAGTCCACGGAGGCCCCGCCACCAGCCGGGCTGCCCTCACGGAGCGCGGCCGGAAGGACAGTTCGGTTGCACTCTGGCCTGCACCAGAGACTCATGGAGCCCGTGGCTTTCTGAATGCAGCAAAAGAAAGACCCCACGAAGCGGCACATTCTACGTCGCCTCTGACCCCTGAGCTGAGGGCCGGGCTGCTCGTACCTTAGACCAGGCCAGCCAGGCCTATGGCTGCAGCAGGGGAGAGGCAGAAAGGTGGAGGGAGGAGTGGAGAATAGGGAGAAGCTGAGGGAGGAGAGAGAGAAGAGAAGTTGCTGTGTGACGAGGTGCGGCCCTGACATGGAGAGGCTGTGGCCGCCCAGCTCCACCCCGAGGTACACGGAGAGTGCATCCAGGCCTCCTCCTCCTGCTCCTTCCTGGCCACTCTGCACCTCATCTGACCCCTCCCAGCCAAGGGCACCCAGGGAAGAGCTGGGCCTGCAGACTTAACGGTGGGTCTCCTGGTGGGGGCTCTGACGGGCGAGCAGGAGCGCGACCTGGGGGGTGGCGTGGGGCATGCCCAAAGCCGGCCGTCTGGAAAAGCTGGCACCCTCGGGGAGTGGGATGCTGGGAGGATGAAGGTGAATGGAAACCATGGCTTAGACCTGAAGGTGGGGGTCCCACTCTGGCCTGGGGGGGGCCGGGCAGTCATGAGCCTTAGGGGGAGGTGACCCAGAGAGGAGACATGGGCCCAGGACGAGGAGCAGGTGAAAGGACACTCAGCGTAGGACTGTCCACTGTGAGGTGTGATCCTTGTGATTACACACTTCTGGCTCCAAGATCAAAACGCACAGGAAGTGCGTGAAGGTGCTGGGCTTTGAACGTCGGTTATTATTTCTCCAGTAACTGGGCCGGTCAAGTGCGCAGAACTTTCTGGAACCACCCACCTTTACATACCTGTGTTTTTTGACGTTCGGAGGTTGTCAAATTCAGAAAAGTCATCTTTAATTGTCCCATTCAAATTACTGAAGAGATCGAAGGCCCCTGAGTGGACACAAGGCCAGCGATTGAGCACCTCGTGGCTCTCCACGTCCCACGTCCCTTCTGTGGGACGCTGAGAGCAAGGGGGCCGCTCGGTTCAGGGTCACTGGGGGGCTGGAACTGAACGTGGCCTCCCGGGCATAGAGTGGGGTGTTCGCCTGCCTGCTCCTCCCACCATCCCCCTGAAACTGAGGAGGGGCTGACGGTGGTGAAGATACAGTGGAGCTGGGGCACGGCCTGCAGGAAGTGCCTGGAGTGTTGGAGGGCAGCCGGCCTGGGCCGCGGCTCCCTCTGGAGGAGGTTTGGTGCCAGAGGCCTGTGAGCCCGCAGAGTGGGTGTGGCTGGGGGCGGGGACAGAGGCTGCCAAACGGAGAGGCCCCATGCCCAGGAGGTAGGGGGGGGAGAGTGGCGTGGGCCCAAGGGGCTCCTGGGACCCAGGAGGAAGGAGGGCTGGCTCACCAGAGGCGGCCGCAGGCTTGGCGGCAGAGGCTGCTGCCCAGGCGTCCGCTGCCCTCTCGGCACCATGGGCAGGCTGCTGCGGGGCTGCCCAGGAATCTGAGCTCGTGGAGCTGGAGTGTGTGCTGGCTCCGGGGGGAACGCCCCATGGGTCCACAGAGGAAGCTGGCTTGGCACCTGTAGAAAGGCGGGTAGGGCTTGGAGATGCCCTTGGAAAGTCCTGGGCAGCTGGGGTGAGACGGCCATGTGAGCCACACTAGGGTCTGTGCCCCGGTCAGGAGAGGCAGACGCCCAAAGGGCGCTATCCCACACCAGCAACGCCAGACAGAGCCAAAGCCAGGGCTGGGAGAGCCCTGCAAGGCCCGGCCCAGCACAGCCCCCGGGAAGGGACCACAGAGGAACAGCCGAGAACCTGCTGCACTCCGGGCCACAGAGGCCTCCTGGCTAAGGCAAGCCCACCTCCCTGGAGCGCACAGGCCTCGGACCGGGCTCTGCCTGTAGCGCCCATCCCACCTGCTTCGAGTGGTCTCTGCCTTTGAAGGAGGGAGACTGCCCCATGAGAGCAGCACAGAGGGTAGCGACGCCTGTGCACGGCTCCAGCCTCAGCAAGGAGACCCTGTTCAACTGTGAGTGACAACCCGTGAGTGGCCACCCCCCTGGGATTTTGAAGGACAGGACAGAAAACACCTGAGCAAACTAAGTAAGGGTCGATCCTGTTGCATGAGTCTCCATTGTGGGTACACGTGTACCTGTATACACAAATTCAGGTACATGTAGACACGTGCACACACATATTTGGGTACATGTAGATATGTGCACATACATGTGGGTACATGTAAACACGCATGTATACATGTACACACAGGATACATGTGGGTACTAGTACATGTGTAGACACATTTGAACATGTGTAGGTAAGTGTGTGCACGTGTAGGGGTACATGTAGATACATGTGTACACACATTTGGGTGCATGTAGATGTGCATGTGCATACACATTCAGGTACATGTGCACACTCATATTCAGGTACGTGTAGACACACATGCACACACATTGGGTACATGTAGATATGCGTACATACACATTCAGGTACATGTAGCTACATGTGTACACACACATTCAGGTACATGTAGATACATGTATACACACATTTTGGCACATGAACATACACATGTACACCACATACACATGCATCTCCTTTCCTCCAGTGGAGCATCACAGGAATGTTTAAAAACCACTGCTGCTTTTCAGGGACCAGAAAGTGCCTCCCCCAGTGGCACTTTCACCCCCATCAGCAAGGAGACAGTCCTTGTGACAGGCTGTGTTCACTCCGTGTTTTATTGGGGAGTCATCTGTGTGAGGTGTGGCCGAGTGTGTTCATTTTCACTGCTGTGTCTGTCACTCTAGAAAAGGCCACAATGGGCAGTCTGGAGGGCACTGGTCTGGCCTAGCTACTGCACTGCTTTGTCCATGTTCCACCCTAGGTGCCCGTGTGCACTGTCCCCGTCACCGGGCAATGCCAGCTGCCACTCCCACTGCTCTCCTCTCCTAGAAAGACCGGCCGTCGCAGCCACCATCCCCTTCCTTTTTTTAAAAAAAATATATTTTATTGATTTTTTACAGAGAGGAAGGAAGAGAGATAGAGAGTTAGAAACATCGATCAGCTGCATCCTGCACATCTCCTACTGGGGATGTGCCCGCAACCCAGGTACATGCCCTTGACCGGAATCGAACCCGGGACCCTTCAGTCCGCAGGCCGACGCTCTATCCACTGAGC